CTTGTTCAGTAGTTTCACACCGGCCTCTCCACCCAAACTTTTCGCCCATAGCAATGCTACCTGAATAAAAAATTCATTAGTGTTATTGATTTTTATTGTTTCTATTGTATTTTGCCTGTTTCTGTTCCTGTTCGCCGCCTTCACTTCTTGCCAAACGATACGCATCTGTCCACATTTCCTTTTCTCTATACATATTTATAGCTGCCTAAAATCAATATCTTGATATTGTTCTAGCAATTAGAATCTTGTAACGAATTATTACCTTAACATCTCCAGCTTTTAGGTACTCCTCCTCAGCAAGACGTAAGTCTCCACGTTCTTCATGCTCCATTCCTAGCCGTTTATGTGTATCCTAAGAGACACGGAATTTTGCAATTTTTCAAAAAAAAAGGTGGGGCTACTTGTACCTGCAGATGTTCTCCGTGGTACTGTTCAACCAGCCGGATCACATCATCGTTTCGTTCTGCATTTCTGTACATCATTACAGCTCGGTTTGACATTCCAATCGAGACGTAAAGCTAAAAAATTAGACTTACCAAAAAATTGATTTTTCGTGACAAAATCACCTGTTCTGCATCCGCGTAACGTCCCTGCTGCTCCAATTCTTCAGCTTTAGCCTCATATAGAGCAAATGTTTCCTCTTTGCCAAGGAATTCTTCAGATAACTTCAAAAAAAATTGAAAATGAGCAATTGAATTCAGTCTGGACAAAGCCTACCCTGTAGGCATCAGCCCAATGATTGTGTTTTATATACATCGCAATAGCTTCCTTCTGGAGATTTGCTTCCAAATACAGACGTTCAGCTCTCTAAAAAGTTAGCATATGGTAGGAGCAGATTTGGCGAACTGTGTGCCAGCTCCGTGAAAAAAAGTCAGATGGACGTCCGACACGGCGCTGACACGGCACTGGCACATCTCTGGAGCGGTGTTGGAGTAGCGTTGGCACAGAACTGGCGCCAGCAACGCTGACCGCAGTTTCAGATAATTACTATTACTCACGTCAAGTTCTTCAGTGGTTGCATAATGCGCAGCGATACGTCCGTAGAAATCACTGGAAACTTGTGGATCTTGGATAACATCAGCAATTTGTACGGCTTTGCTCCATTCCTTTGCTTGTATAGCTGCTTCTGCAGCTTTTGTCAAACTATTCGCTTCTGAATCACCAAATAAATAATATTCCAAAAATCTTTTCAGATCTCGCACCCAGGAAATGATTTATGGAGGCTTCATGTTGTCCCATAGATACTAGATAGTCACCCCAATCCTCTTCAAGTTTCACCACTTGCTCAGGAGCCGAAAATCGTGCCAGCTGAAATACTGTTTGAGCCAAGTTGAGACCATCAAAACTGCATTACTTACCTGAATTGCTTTGTTGAAGGCCTTTCCA